CAACCTGGAGAACCATCTGAAGTCTAGCTGAACAGAAGTCCTATAACTATAAATATAAAGGAGAAGCAACGACAAGACTGGTAGGGAGTGGGGGCAGAGACGCGAAATGGGCCCCAAACCTCCCTGTGGCAGTTGAGAATAAGGAGAGATACCTTGGCCTTGGAGGTTCCACCCAGAGGAGCGAGGGACTCCAGTCTCCCACACCAGGCTCCCCAGCCCTGAGTACTGGTGCTAGAAAGAGGAGTCCCCACAACATCTGGCTGTGAAAAACACTGGGGTGACCATTTGTGTGGGTGGGACAGAAAACTGCAGGAAACCCAGACGTGCTCTTAAACAGACTGCGCACAGACTCACTCGCTCGCAGGCACTCACCTTGGGCTCCAGCAAAGTGACAGTGACTCAGGGGACCTCAGGGACATGCAAGGGGCAGACTGAAGGTTGTGGCTTCCGGGGGAGAACTGGAGGACAGTTGCTATTTTCCCAGCGAGGACTCCTAACTCAGTGCAGCCAGCAGGCAGGCGCCATCTTTACTATGTTTACCCGCCCCCTCTGGCCATATCTGAATCTGATTGTTCTGGTGAGCTCCACTGCTCTGCCCTGCTGACTCACTGGGACCCTGCCCCACCCAACTCTCACACCAGGAGGCACTTTCTCCAAGAGCAGTCAGACCCTCCCTGCATTGCACTCTTTCTAGGAAACCTATCAGAGTCCATGGGCCCCAGGCAGGCAGCAACTGGCCTTGATGTGCTCTGAGACTTTTGCTGAGTCACTCCAGGCTCAGCACAGACACCAAACCAGAGTCTACATTAACCTGGTGACCACAACTCCTCTCACTCTAGTGACTCCCTGAGACCCTGCCTCACTTAACTTGCATACCGCAGGAAGCTTTATCAGTGGCTGAACCTTAAGGGAGCCAGCAGGTAGCAGCAGGCCTCCAGGTGTTCTGGCTTTTTGCAGAGTTACCCCAGGCCCAGTAACGGTGGCAGCTGTCCTCAGTTTGGAGCATGGCCTCACCCACATGCCTCCAGGTCTAGCACAGGCAGTGAACAACTGTGGATCACTTTGTAGCTCCTACCAGGTAGCCACCCAGCCAGTCACAGGCAGTGACTGACCTGAGCCTGCACTAGAGCCCCTCCCAAGAGGCCCTAGAACCAACATACTTGGAAGTTGGCTTCAGACCACAGCAGAGCACCACCCAATTAGCCCTACTGCCCAATTAGGCACACACAAAGGGTGGCCTCAATAGGCACCAGAGCCTGCTGGGGCAAATCCCACTCAGTGAGGTAAGCCACCTGCACAGCAGCCTATGAGCTATGTATGTGGCCAAACTCCACAGCCAGTCAGCCTGAGGGTCAATCCCACCCACTGAGTGTCAATAGCAATCAAAGCTCAACTATAACAGGAGGGCACACACAATCCACACAAGGGATACTCCTGCAGCACCCCATCAAGTGACCAAAGAGACTGCCACTGGGCCCCACAGGACACCTATGACATAAGGCCACCCAGCCAAGCCTGGGAGACATAGCAGATCTACCTAATACATAGAAAGGAACACAGAGAGGCAGCCAAAATAAGGAAGCAAAGAAATGCATCCCAAATGAAAGAACAGGAGAAAACTCCAGAAAAAGAACTAAATGAAATGGAGACAAGCAACCTACCAAACAGAGTTCAAAACAATGGTTATAAGGATGATGAAGAAACTTAGTGAGAACTTCAACAAAGAGATTGCAAGCATAAAAAAAATAAATAAAAAGGACATAGAAACCATAAAAAAGAACCAGTCAGAAGTGAAGAATATAATAACTGAAATGAAGAATGCACTAAAAGGAATCCCCAGCAGACTAGATGAAACAGAGGATCGAATCAGCAATTTGGAAGACAAGGTAGCAGAAAACACCCAACTGGAACACCAAAAGAAAAGAGAATATTTTAAAATGAGGATAGTTTAAGGGACAACATCAAGCATAACACTCGCATCATAAGGATACCAAAAGGAAAAGAGAGAAAACAAGAGACTGAAAACCTACTTGAAGAAATAATGACTGAAAACTTTCCTAACCTAGTGAATGAAATAGAGATACAGGGGCTGGCCGAGTGGCTCAGTTGGTTAAGAGCTCACTCAAGAGTTTGAGCTCTGAGCAACAGCGGTTCGAGTCCAGCCCGAGCTGAGCAG